ACTGTTAACGGTGCTTTTCGTTTTCCAATAACCAGATTTAGACTGCTGCAGCAGTAGAAAAGCTAGGTGGTTCGCACACCGATGGGCAGACCCGGGCTTTTGCAGCACTAATATTCGTGCCACTTGGGCGCGGATGAAAAATCCTTGGCTTCCTCTCCCCCCTTAGATCCGTCCACGGCCTCTCGGAAGTGCGGCCCCGTCCCTCCCCCCTCCCCTCTCGAACCCCAGAGGTTACGATCAATGCCAATGGTTCCGTTCCTTTGCAACTTGGCAAGTGAACCTACTGGGGCAGCGCGGTAGGGCCACGTTTTCAAGCTGTCAATTTGACGCAAGTCTACGGTTGTGACGTGGGCAGCTACTGTAACGCGGCTCCGGGGTGCCGCATACGTTCGTTCTTGGGTTCGAGTCCGGGCTATGAAGGTTGTGATGCGGGGTTTTTTGCCTCGACAAGACTGCTTGCCTTCCCGGTCAGCATCAAATTTCATGCTCATCATAACCGGGGCTGTTTCGCATAAATCCGGCTCCTGTCTCCAATTCCTACCTCGAAGCAAGACTCTCAGCGCCTTTGCAGTCATGGTTTCGCTCCTTCCGTTACGACCCCGAGGCCTAAACCACCATCCCAGTTACTCACCCCACTTTCAGCGCCGTACCCCCTCCCTTGCCTCATCCCTGCCCTCTCCCCCGAAAGCAAGTTACACATGAAAAGGAGGTGGGGAGGGGGGGGGGAGTAGGGATAAAGTTGGGGGAAAGGTACGAATGCAGTTGGGAGAAAGAAAGGGGTACGGGCACAGCGGAGAGGGGACGGGGGACAGCCGAGGGAAGGGGTGCAGCCGATGGAGCGGAACAGAGCTGGGCCTAGCGACAGCTGAGGGGCGGAGCGGAAGCGCTACAGCGTGAGAGAGTGAACGGCCCATACAAGTAACGAGCAGCGCCTGTACAGGTAACTAACCTATCTAGAATGTGTAAATGCGACCCGCTACTAGGTACAGGTTGTGGCATGTTGCCTATAATCTGATGTTTTCGTGCAACTTGCATCTTGATCCAGTCGAGCCGAGCCGAGTTTTAGTAGTTGCCATGGTGGGTTCCCTCTTTCCGCATTTCTTGGCTGGTTTGGCCTCGACGGTCCGGTTTCGGTGGTGCTTTTCCAGGGAAGTGAATCTTACATCTCTGTAATAAAGTATATTTTCAGGAGGAAGAGAGACGAGTTGCGTTGTGCGTGTTAAAAATCGGCTCCGAATGTCTGATGCGTATGATTTTGTGAATAACTGGGGTAATCTGGACAACGCACTTCGTCGAATCGCCACCCGTAGCAGCGCCTACAAAGATCCAACGGAGCGTGTTTTCTCGGAAGCGGAGCAGGAGGAGAAGTTGAAGCAGGCCAAAGAGGAGTTCGAGGAGGAGTTGCACCAGAAACGTCTGGAGGCGATCCGTGCCCGGCTGCAACTCGAAAATCGTGACTCCTGGTTCCGTACCTCGCCGTACTACTGGATGGGCTTCAGTGACCGTAGAGGGAATCCCTTGAAGTAAAAAAAAAGAAAACCAACAAAAAATGCGTTGTTTTGTGACCGTTGGTAGCACCGAATTCGATGCCCTTGTTGTTGCACTCACTGCCCCTGAATGTCTGCAAAAACTAAGCGATCTGGGTGTCCGGGAGCTGCTCATTCAGCTGGGTCGTGGTAAGCTGGAACCTCGGCGTGGCGAGCAGTGCGGGATAATGGTGGATTTTTACCGATACCGGGACAACATTTGGCCGGATATTGCGAGCGCCGATCTGGTCATTGGGCATGCCGGGGCCGGAACCTGTCTGGAAGTGTTACGCGCACGCAAACCGCTAATCGTTGTGATCAACGAGCAGCTGATGGGCAACCATCAACGGGAGCTTGCCGATCGCCTGGCCGAACTTGGACACCTGCTCTGCACAGTGCCCGAGCGGCTGGCCGAAGTGATCGCCTCACCGGATCTCTTCAATCGGAAACGTTTCGCGGAACCGGATTACAAATGGCTGACCGCGGTCATCGATGAGCACATGGGCATCGTTTACTAGTGCTGCTTTCGTTCATAATTTCCTGTTAAATTTGGGGATTTTATTCTTCTTCGTTTGAAAAAAAACGGCATTTCCGGTTCATTGTTGTAATACATCGTTGTGAAATATCCTGTGTTGTTAGGCTAAAGTTGGTTTTGGCTTTTTTCCAGGAAGATTTTGACTTTTCCTCTGTCCGTTTTAAAAATGCTTGGCTCTTATGATGCTTCAAAAATAACATTTTAATGTTTCGGGCAGATTTTCGTGACCGTTCGCGTGATTCACTCCAAAATCTCGTTCCACAGTTTACGCTCTTCCTCATCATTTGATGCTTTTTTTTTCGAGTTTTAGCGCAAAATCTATGTGGAATTCATTTTTTGCGGTCTTTTTGTATATGTTGCTCTCGGATAGGCTGTTTGGACGATTTCCAAAAAAAAAAAAAATGGTGGATTTGAGGCGCCTCGATGTTGGACATACGAGGCCTAACGCATCACCACCCTTTGGCCTCACACTGCATCACATTAGGGTCGTAAGAATCAGTGATTCCGGATCGATAATTGTATTTGTTTTCTGGATTGATTTTTTTTTTTGAATCAAATTTCGGTTTTTTGGGTCGAATTTCGGTTTTTTTGGATCGAATTTCGATTTTTTTTGGATCAAATTTTTTAATTTTTCTTCATCAAATTTGTCCCCTAGTCCCAAGGCTACACAGTTACTTTTCCACGTGGATGATTCGGTTGTTCCTCTTTCTACCCCCTGGGACATCCCAGCCATCGCTGACTTTTTTTTGTGCTCATCCTAATTCTACCAAAAACTTG